ATTTTTTTTTTTTGTACAGACATGTTAGTCTACGAGTATGAGGCGCACAATTTTAAATGGTATTGTCTGGTATTATTTGGGATATGACTTAAATGAATTTATTTTTGCGTCTTGCGTCTAGAGACAGTGATTTTTAATATACACAGAAAATTATTTATTTCGTTATGCAAGTCGTTATTAAAACACGTTAATCGAGGCTCCAATATTCATACAGTTATTAACTTCCCTTCAGCGACTACACAACTTACAGACTGATTCAGCAGCATATTTCTCCTTTTGAGAAAAAAATACATTTCCTGTTTCTGATACCTCACTTTCCAGGGCACTTCTCAACTTCATTTTTTAAAATGCTGTTATTAAACCATGGGAGATGAAACAAAACGGTGATTCAGAATTTTCCTTAAATTCTTGTTTTACTCAGTCTAACTAGCGCATTTTGTTCAAAGAGTCTACTCTTCTAACTGGGATATATGGCATTCGAATAAGATGTGAGGAGTTTTATCCGTTAGGATTAAGATAATACGCCGTTTTTACCAAAAACACAGAAATGTATAAAAACTTAGTAAATGGAGTTTCATTTTTAACCTGAAATTAGTTATTTACGCCTTAAGAGTAGGACCATAGGCTGTTGCCTCAAAATTGGTCTTAACGTTCAGATCATTGTTATTCAAATCTCGCTAAGTCGAAACTGCAGTGCATCGCACAAAGGAGGCTTGGGGACACAGAATAACCTCATTAACTTTTTACTTCTAAAAATATAAGTATAGTTTTTTTTTGTCAGTGTATCAGTATATATCAATGTATCAGAATAAAAAGAGGTTTGTCTTTGTGAAGCGACAGCTATAGACAAAAGCAAAGCATGTTGCTAAAATTATGGACGCAAAACTTTGACACAAGCAGTGGTTTTATTCTTTGCAGTACTAGGTTATAGCTTTCATGTATGTAGATGCTTGTCAATTGACAATTGGAAGATAATTTCGGGTTCAAGAAAGACCATTTCTGAACGAGCTTTAAAATCAAAACTCTATAACCTGTGAAAAGCTACGGAACGGGCTCATTTTTTGCACTTGATGAGAAATCTACATTTCCCCCTAGTGGTGTTGTGTCACAATTTTATTGTTTTAACTAATACTTCAAAAATACGTCTACATTTTTATTTTCTCTCCATTTAAACATCTCTATTGTATCGCACGCTTCGAGCTGATTGTATAGTCCCGCCATTTACGTGCATGACCAGACTTTGTCAATGTTTAAAGCCCATGGCTCGTAACAGACGTTATAAGATGTAAGATAGAAACTATAGGAGGACGCTCCTTTTACTGAACTTATCTCTGCAATTTTAGACTGAGAAAAAAAAAATCGAGAAATTATCCCTCAAAGGCCGATTCAAAATCCAATATTCCAGAAACGGGTCTGGCTTTCTTTTGATGGTACTTGGTACTAGAAGTCAAATGATATATCTTATCATTTGGCCAGGCCTGTTGGAGGCACTTGTGCTCAGAAACCCCAGCGACCACAAAAGCCTTTCTCATTTCCCGGTGCTTATTCATTTAGTAGCGTCTTCTTGTTGACTGCAAGCGTTTTTCCTGTTTTCGGCGAGAAAAGTTAACCGGTTATTGGTTCGTAAGAAGTCGTTTCTGGTTTTTCTACAGCGCAGATGACCTAGAGAACGACCATTACTCGTGGGTTTATGCTGATATGAACGGAAAATATGGGATGCAATTAGATGTCTTTATTTCCCATCGTCCGAGATTCAAGCTGGGTTGAATCTTTTTCTAAATATTTGCTCCCAGAGCGAGCACAGTTTGTTTTTGACAATAGTGAGAAAACCTGTTATCCACAAATGGCAGCGGCTTCCGCGCTTATACAATATTTCTAAAGTCTGAAACAACAAGCGTTCATTCTTCTTTGACCGGACCCAGGTCGCTTCCGAATATTTTGTTTGGAAATACCTACCCATGTTGTCGCCTACGTCATCGCAGACATTGGCTGTTAAGGGCCCTATCTGAAGACGTTATAAATTTAGACCCAAGGGGGAACGACCACGTGACTTCCGTCCCACGAATTCTGCACCGTTACCATTATATTTTCTGTTGGTTTACGGGGCGCAGTTTTTACTCGTACTTTTTTTAATTTTCCGATAACGGATGTTATTGACTAATTGAACATTAATCATGAGAAAAAGTGTAAAGGTACTGGGTGTAGGAAATATTGAAATGATTAAGAATAATGCCATATTGACAAATAGCATGGTTTTTTTTTTTTTGCATGAGATTCCTATCATACAATATAGATTCAGTCTCTTAGACATAAATTTGCCTGTTTCTATACAAAATTCTTCTTACATATTTTATAAATGTTTATATTTTGTATACTTTTGTCATATTGTTTTTCAAATACAGCAGCTTGACACATATTTCTTTGTATGAAAGATAAGCCGTTAGGAGCCATTTACAATACGTTAATGGATAAGGAAAGTCCCACACAATTGACAGTGACAAGTTCTTACATTTTCCAGATCAGATAAACGCTCAGCAATGCAAAACCTGTTGTTAAGAATAGAAGCTCCAAAACTAAACTTTCCATCGGCGTCAAAGAAAAAACGGTACGATTAATTTGATACGTGATAGAATTGGTTGACACGCGGGAAGATTTATTTGAAACAGACCCATGGTTATCACCGGCTCTTGTCACTTCACGCGCTTAGAGGGATGAGTAAGAACGCGACCGTCGTGCCAGAGGCGTTAGATGATAACACAGGATACATGTACAGACCATTATAATGTGCGGACTGATTCTTTAGCGTTCGTGTCTTCTTTTGATCACCTGCTTCTGTGATAGTATCAAAAACGCCCCGTTTTACCTTGAATTAGACCAGCCAATCTTCCAGTATAAACCTATTTCTATATAATGTCATATTTCTTATTGCGTGCAGTTTATTTCTTAATTTTGTAATGGAATTTCATCATGAACAGATTACTTTACACGTAAATTAGAACTCAGATGTTGATTTGCAAAAGAGCAGTTATCGTGTTATGTTTATCCGATGGCTTAGCATCCAAACCATTATGTTAACATGTTTCACACGAAAGTGAGAAGTACACAATGTACTAACAATCAAATACATGCAGGGAAACCGAAGCAGTAGCACGAATATATATATGCCTACAGGAAAACTTAGAAGAAATTTAATGTTATTTTCAATAAGCATGCAAGAAGCAAAGAGAAATGACAATTGTCAAAGGGAAATGATTTTCAAAGTCAAACAGAATACCAATTTTAATGAGTGAAGTTAACAATCATTCATTATTTTTCAATATATAAATGCCTTAGTTTTACATTTTGAAATATGGATCGTGTTATGTACTTGAAAACATACAAGTCTAGTTCCTGTAAAGCGACATGCCTGTTTTGAAAACGGTTATAGATCTGTAGCATGGTTATGTACCATTTCCAGCAATATGGTCAAAACCTTAGGACTGACTTCATACTTGAAGTCATCATATTGAGCTGACATAATGTAAGCTGGATCATAACACTACAACCCCTTCTATACGTTTTTTTTTTGGGGGGGGGGGTTGAAATGTACTTAAAAGACATTTTCGTGTCCTGTCGCTGAATCAATTTGCCTTGCAAGAATTGACCAAAAAGTAAAAATGCAACACACTTATATATTCAAGTGCAATTGTATAGTTACAAAAGACATTCAAGCGGCAAATGAGAAGTCACGTATTAAGTCCATGCGACGCAAATTAACAGTCACGCTTCCCAAAATAATTGCAATGGTTTACAGATGAGATCAATTCGCACCTGCTCGCGTTGGGTTGCTAAGGCAAGTCTTCTTGTGTTGACCGCAGCTGTTTACGAGACGTCATGCTGTACGTAGGTCTTTGATTAGAGGGTCGAGTGTCTCTCTAACACGGCAACTTAAGGGCGGGCCACGCACGAATAATTGCGCCGCTATAGTGGAAAGGATAGTTTCCGATGTATCAAAATCCCGATGTTTATGTTTTGTCTATAACAACTGCATTACAAGACCTCTTATGAGAATGAACTAGGCCGAGGGGATCGATTTTTCAAATTCCTGGGGTTAACTTTAACACTGTATTTTTTTGTCTGAGCATCTTTGATGATTTTTTCTTTAAAATCGTATTCAAGTTATAAGACAGTGAAGGCTAGACTAAGCAAAGAATGCCAATTATTTGTATTTTCAAATTACTGGGTAGTGAACAAACATTGTATTGCATCAGATTTACAGCAATCCTGGCACATTTTCATTTAATTCGTTTTAAACTCCAAGTTAAACATATCCTTACATTGCCATGGCCTTTAGGGTTTAACAATAGCAAATTTACTCTTTAATTTATATGCCCCCGTTCGATTTCAATTACAACTTGTTGCACGCGCTGTTTGATCAAATTGATACTTAAACTTAATTTCACTGATAAAGTAATTTATGTTAATCTTAAGTAAATATGAGGCGTTTAATTCTCTCTCACTTCATCGGGTTCCTTAGCCGTGTAGACACGCCGGCGTCCAGCAACTTGTCGAGTTAACTATTTCGTAATTAATCGTATATATATCTCGTTTGCGCGTTTGTGGTGAGGCGAAGAAAGTTTTGAAAAGTTTTGAAAGAGTCCTTTCCTCCCGAACTGGTCACATAGGATCCAGTCATCTCCCCCGGATATCACACTTTCCATTTCGTCTGCCAGGCCCTGAAACGTATTGGTTATGCGGCTAGTTTTCCTTCTTCTGACAGCCGTTGTCAGTGCGGAGTCTTTGCAGGTAAGTCGCTCATTAATGTCACGATTCCTAAAAATAAAATATTGACAAGTTTTAGTGCTTCTTCCCAATATTGCACTTTATTATGAATATAGTCAGGTAGCTCCCGATCAAACCTTTCCCTCTAAAACTATCTACATACCTCAACAATCACGGATTATTTATGTAGACTGAAACACGATTTATGTCTAATAGACTTGACATTTAATTGAAAAAAAAATCGAATTACTCATATTGAAAATAGTGGAATGATGTCTTAGTCTTGTTTATTAGGTTAAGCTCGTGTACAGTGTCAAGTGGATTATGTGGGGAAAGTAAACGATCTTTTGGGCTTTAAAAAGTATTAAAATTCTTTTTAGACGTTTGATTTTTAGGGTTAAATTTATTGTAGAAAACGTTAACGTGACGAATTTTTTACATAAGAGACCTACTAAAAGCCGCAACAAGGTCCTAAATGTCTTAGGCTAAACGAGATTTTTAATGCATAATCTTTTAAATAATTTAGTACGCTGCCATTGTCCTAAAACGATTTCATCCTTATTGTTACTGACTGTAATTGATTTCTTTATTTGTATCCATCTCTCCTAAGCAAGTCATTCAAAATTGATCAAACAAGCCCGTTTTCTTTCCTTTTTTTTTCGCGGAATATTCGGTAAGATGTCACTTTGTATAGACGATCGGGTACTTTTATCACCTGTTAATCATCATGAACTAAAGTGTCGGATTAAATTTCTAATTAAAGGAAACCCAGATGTATTTAGTCATAATGACGAACCAGGGGTTATCTCATGTTTTTCAGGAAACTTCCAAAACAACTTTCCGTTGAGACCCCAGTTTATAAATCGAGGAATCGCGACCACGTCGTATATGTTACTAACATTTATATCTTACTGTCAAAATTGAGAAGTCTTACCTAACCCGGTGACGTACTTTGAGATATAAATAAAGACTTTAACGAACAGAAACTGGAGTTAGGTATCAAACTTGGAAATTTGACTCAATAACATAGGATTTTATAATACTTGCTGTTCCGTCTTACTGTCTGTGAACCGAAAACAATACCAGATAAAGATAAAAAAAGCAGTGCACAATTAGATATTAAAATTAAGCACTGTGATAACGGTATCACATACGACCAAAGAAAGAAAAATGTTTTAATATTTTGCTTTTTAGCAATAGTAGGCGTTAAAGACGTATGGAAGGGTATCCATTATTTCTGTATTTGTGTCATTTTTTTCAAATTTCGATAAACGATTGCACTTTATTTTTATCTGTTATATCAACAGTTATATCTTTTTACAATTAGGACGAGGATTTTGTCTGTGTTTGTACATACAACTTTGATTGATGATGAAGTCACCCAGTATACTGATTCATAGCTACACCGAATATACAAGTTCTGTGCTTACTGATCATAAGATCAAAAGTTTCATAGGTTCAATAAATATTGCAATCCTAGACAGTTTATTAGGATTTTTAGTCCCCGAATTAACCCCGAATTAACCCTGGATTATGAATAATAAATTCTAAAAGGTAAGCCTATCTGTAGTTCCCACCTACTAACCTCATGTAGTTCTGAATGGTAATGATTGAAATGCTGCGCATGCAACCGTCAATGATCAAGATACCTCTGGTTTAAATAAAATGGCAAACATTTTTTATTCTTAAATTTCTAAAAAAGAAAAAAAAAAACGTCTCATATTTACTTGTAAAGCGATGAGTGAACTTTAATATTGAAAATGTGCATTTTCAGTTTCATCATGGTCTGAGCGAAAACGACCTCATTCATTACTTTGGTACTAATAAAAGGCATGAAGGTAAGTTTCCTTGATTAAACTACGGTATCCGAAGATGTGAAAATAAGAAAGCTCAAGTGTCGTAGGATAACTTTTATTCTATAATGGCAAATTGGTCTTGGTGGTTGAAACAGACATTTGATCTCGAATTAGTTTAGAAGTAACAGAGATGGATAATTGTTGGAATTCACAAGGGAACAAGAATGTTACTGACCATCTTGGTCAGACATTTTTTTAACAAGATCTCCAGGTTTTATTGTATAAAGTTGCTTCAAATTAAAGTTGGATTGAAAAATAAGGATTAGTGAAAGATGTTAAAAGACAGCCATTCTAGGAAGAAGCTGTCCAAATATGTGCCTGTTGTCTTAAAAATGGTTTTTCATTTTACTTATTGTCAGGATTGGATCAACGTCCATTCAACATTTCCCCAATGTTTGAAGATAACTTAATAAAAAGAAAGAAGCGTGAACATATGGTCATTTGCAAATTGGTCGGTTTGATTGTTTAAACAGATTGAAATAAAAAAGTCATTTTTCGATTTCAGTTCCGGATTATGACATTATCACACCCACGCGGGTACCAACGCCCGTCCAAAGTCTCCGACACCGCCGCGACAGTGGCGTAGACGATTTCAAAAAATACCATTTGACAGCATTCGGCGAAGAATACCCTCTCTCTCTTGTGAAAAACGAAAGACTGATTCCTTCAGGTAAACTAAGATCCACAGTGCACAGTATCTTTTATTACTAATTAGAAAGGACTTGAATTAAAGATAACTAAAATGCCAGTAAATAGATCTTTCTCTATCAATCCACTCTTTACCTTTTTTATTCTTTCTCATGAAGAAGTTAACGGATTCAGCTTAGTAATTTGCGTCAAACTAACCAGTTTCACGAGTGGTATATTTTCTTTGAGTAGCAATTTTTAACCTGGAAGATAGGAGTGTTTGCTTAAATGCGTACAGTAAGCCTCCACATATGGTAGAGAGTATCACGGACATCAAAACATTGTTATCGATACGATTTACAAAGTAATTTTTTCACCGCAAATTTGATGAATTCATACGACCTTTGTCGAAACTATATGGAATGCAATGAAATCGAGTAATGTGACCTTTTAGAATTACAGGGCGACGGCTTGATGTATTGTTTCAGATACAATTCATTGTCATTGACGATCATTTCAACAACAATTGTCATAAACTAAATTTCAGGAACAGGTTACTTTAAGAATATTATTTGGAAATTAAAAACTTACAATAACTGCTAGGAGATATATGAGGTTGTCTTTCTGCTACGTCAGTTACATTAAATCCAAGAAAACATCACAGGTTGACTGAATTGTTTTTGCATGTTATGATTAGCTTAGTGTTGTTAACACCGTAAAAGCCGAAACTAACATTTGTTTTGCTTAGGGAGGACTTAAAGATATTTAAACTTGTTGATAAGACGGTAGAGCATGGGAATTCGAGTTGATACAAAATTTCTGTTTGAACAGTGTGTTGGCATGTGTTGGCCAGTTCGTGTATATCCAGACTCATTTTTTCACGATCAGCACTATTCCGCAGTGAAATAATGAAATAAATGTCAGCCTTTATCTGTGAAAAATTAATTACACGCACGTTTCGTGTAGCATTATGCTTGTTCACTGTCAATATTAATCACTTGCTTTAATTTTTTTTCTAATGCTTTAGAATGCCTCGTGCATAGAATGGGCCACAACGGGACCACACACGTGGTGCCTTGCAGAGCGTCGGCCAACCAGAACTGCTACTACTTGGGGGAATCGGCGTTCCATAATGGTTCCATTGCTGCCGTCAGCACATGCAGAGGACTAGTAAGTAGTCCTCTATCCGTAGTCTTCGCTCTGTCTTTTAAGAACAAGATAAAAAATAAATAAAGTAAAAGATAAAACAAGGGAGTAACCATTTACAACAGTGCAAAAGCCCCCTTTACACTGTACGGCCCCGTCTGGTGGTAAAAAAATACTTAACGTACAACTGGCTTATCATTGAGCATTCATTGTGCAACCAAAGCGATGTTTGTGCTTCCATTCTACGGCCACAGCGATGCCAGTTTCATGGTCGCACAAAGGACGCAGAAAGGACGCCGTCCAGCGTAAAGGGGGTTTAAGTACGGAATGTCACCAGACTTTGACATGAAATACAAGATTTTTTCAATGTCGCAGTTCCTTTTTTCACGTACTGTTGTTCATGAATTTTGGCTACAATGTTGTATTTTATTTATTATTTTCAAGCACGGAATGGTCAGCACCGAGCACCATGACCTGCTTATCACCCCACTGAAGGAAAAACACAGGCAACATCTTACGGAAAAACAGCTAGCTGAGCACGAACATCCCCACGTAGTGTACAAACGTGTTCCTAAAACCAAGACCTGTAGAGTTAAACGTGAGTGTTGATAATTAACTCACTCAGCACACGTTCGTGAGTGCCATTTAAATGATACCTTTAATTAAATAATAACAATTTGTTTATCAATTTTACTCCTTGTTGACGAAACTTTCCATGATACCTGTACGATGACTTCAATTACATTGATATCTGCTGCTGACGTATCTTACTTAGGAGTATCTTGCCCACACAAACAGGATAAATGATATATTTTTCATTTGCATGTTTTTGGGGAAATTAAATTTTAACTTTTGCTCCGTTGACACGAAACTAAAAAAGCACTTGTTTTAATGATTTGACGTCATGCTATGCTTCCATAGCTAGCATGGTATTTTCTTTGAAATGAAAATTATCCTCGATGGCTGTATGTGGAAAGGTTCATTAGGACATACATTTACATGGGGTCAACGACTAATTGCAACGAATGGCATTTCAACAAAATTGTCTTAAAAAGGGTTCAGCGATTCTAGTCTTTTGACTTTTAAAATAATTGTAATTGACGCAAACGCTGCGAATGAGTGTAATTAAGAGTGACCTAGATCGTCCCATTTCCTGACGTTGCAATACTTAGGTATGTTTACAAAGATGATAATTTAGCCATTCATTGTGGTGAACGTTAATATTGCTGGAAATCAGGGCCTCGTGACGCATATAACGGTCATCTTTTTGAACAATAATCATGCTGTTACAAGTCTGTGTTGGTCTTACATAAGGCAAAGACGTAGAAACAATGCAATTACAGGCCGGATTCTTAATTGGAATCAGTGAGATGGCACTTGTTAGGCCTCGCGTGGCGTTCGGAGACAATTTAAAAGGCTACGTTCTCGTAAATGAGGTAAGAACTAAATAGAAAGCAATGAGCTCAATTAGACACTGTGACTGTGGCAAAGCACGTTCCAATACCTTGCTGACGAGCAAACTTACATTCGCGCCTTCTCCAGTCTATTGGTTTTATCACCGAGCAAATTAGAAAAGAAGTACTAGATTGTAGAAAAGTTAAATTTATTAAGTTGTTTGATTTGATGATGATGATGATGGATTCATGATTTTTACTCTTGTTGAATTTGTGATGCTTCCATGGACTCTGTATAAAGGAAGGGTTCCTAGCATTTTGCAGAATATTTTACGTAGAAGGCGAATTATTCGCTCCATTTACTCCGTGAAATGAATTTTTATTGTGTTTCCAATACTTCTTTCATGGCCTATTGTTATTTTTACCCTGTTCGTTCATCAAAAACACCATATCCATTACAGATCCAGAGTTTTAATGTACACATATATATTTTCATTCTTTGTTGTCTAGACAGTAATTAAATTCAATACATCGCCGTTAAAGCATAATCCGGCTGCCGTATTTGCCCTTGGATCTGAAGTAGCTCGCATCAAATACTTATAAGTTTAAATGTTTTAAGCATGACATGAGAATTCGCCCCTTTTGTCTTTTAGCATGCGATATATGAAGACTAAGCAGTAAATATATACGCCATGGGAAAATTGCCATGATTCGTCTTTATCTATATTACAAATTGGTCCCAACACCAGGAAAAAATATGCATTTTTCTTCTTTCATCGGTCGCCGAATGTAATCGTTTCACATTTGGATTTGTGACACTCCAAGTATCAATGACTCGGTGCCTGATTTATGAGTCGTAATTATTCCAATTATTTGCTGAATAACTCCCTCAGCGCTCTCTCATTTTACCCAAAGTACCTGTTTTAATTGGCAAGGATCTGTCAGTAACGGATGTAACCGTACACTAACCTTTTTCTTCGGTTTCAATTGTCGTAAGTCGTGCCATTCTACCTGAATCTCAAATAAAGCTTAACGCAATACCTACAGATGTTGTACGAAACACACCACCACGGAACTTTTCTGATGCTAATGGTCCCAAAAAGGGAAACAAGTCTGACTCGTATACTTAAAGGTCAATGACAAGACAAATAAGACAAACCACGCAAACAAGAAAAATAATAATGACCTATGCAGGAACGGAAACCGGTTAAAGACACATTCAGAGATGTTAGCGTTTAGTTTTTCTATCTGCTCTATATGTAACACCTGGAAGAAGTAAGTCAATCTAGAGAACCAGGGAAGGGGGTGAGGGATAGAAATGGACTATATTTCAGTGGTTACATTATCGTATCATCTAACCAAGCCAATACTACAAATGATATAGTATGCATTGCAGAATGTCAACTTAATTTCCACCGATTGGACGTAGGGCAAGGAAGGTAATCCAATACAAAACACAACAGAAATGATGAAATTCGTATCTTGAATGAAGAATACAAATTCCGTTTTTATCGTGTGTCATTTCTATATTACACCAAAGCTGGACTATATAAAAATTCCTATAAAACCCAACTATATTAAAACTTATCAAGTTGTTCAACAATGTTAAACAATAAAATTATTTAGATAAAATTTTAATATGTGCTTCTGAATCAACATAAATGTAACTTTGATGATGTTGCAAAGTTATACAACTTTGTATTGTCTCTCATCAAATTTTTAATTACATTCTGTTATATTGTGCTCTTTTCTGATGAGTCCTAGTACTGTAAGATTAAATAGACGAAATAAAGTGGTCTTCCAGAGTGACCGATACTTAAAATTCAGTAAGACACACCTACCTTAAAGAGGATTAAGGTTAAAATTATGTTCGTTACGAAATGCATAAATGGGTGTGTCTCATCAGTTTTTATCAAATAGCTTTTATCAAGTAGAAAAACAGGCCCCCTAGATTAGTTTTTTCCTGTGAACATATCTTTGAGTGTAGATGTGTTATTTGTTTGAAATTAAACCAACTAATGGATCGGCGAGAGGCTTGAGGAAAGACAATGAAATCCCTTTTTGATGTGTGTAGAAACACTCGAGAGTTTTAATTTTATTTTGCCAATTGAGCTAGTAGTTTTTAGGGCAAAAACATATAACCTATAGAATCAAAGTTCCAATTTACACGCTCTAGTTTTTCAGCCCTTTTTAAAAGGAAACAAATATTACTGTCTACATTATGGAATTTGTGACTTGTGCATATTCAAATTCTCAAACCATAGGAAATCTGGCTTTCTTACCATTTGTTTCAAAACGTTTTTATCTTCGCTTTCAGGAAGTGACAGTGTATTGAAGTCTCTGACAACTCGCCACAAGAGGGCAGCAGGGGAAAAGACAATCGAGCTGATGGTTGTCGTGGATACCAAAATGTGGTGGTACCATGAACAAGACACACAGCGTTACGTTTTAACATCTTTAAATGTGGTATGTTGTTTGAGCTCTGTAATCTTGCCTCACACGTCATCTAATTGAACAGCTGATTAAGCATTTTCTTCTTAAAATGATTGGAGGAAGTGGTAGTCTTAATTTGAATTTGTTCTTTGTCGAACTTTTCGAAATGACCGTATACATATTACGACATATACTACTACACACAGCAGACTATCAAGCATACTGTATCATATTTAAATATAAACATGGAATTAGTGCTGTGCTAGTACTAGACATTTGCATACTTGAAGGGCATGCGCTATTGTACACAAGGGGGGGGGGGGGTTGAACTCCCAAGACGGTTTCACAAAATTGCTTTGAAAATTGATAGCTTCAAACAGCTACCTCCATGGTACAGCTGCCTACATACATCGATTACTGTAAGATCTATACCTTGCGCCCTAAACAATACCAGTTATTCACCAGGAATCAACCATCACGATCGAACGTCAGAGCTTGTGGTAACGAAGCTTATTGCGAGCGAAATCCAAGCCACTTCTGCCTCTAAGCAAGATTATTTCACTGAAAGATTAGATTTCGTCGTTTTGTCTTTCAAAAATACTTCCGATGAAGACTTTTTTCTAAGAAGCTTGAAGTAGGTTGTGATAAATGTGAAACGAAAAGCACTAGGATTTTTTTCTAATAAATGCATCTTTGAATTTTTTCTTTATATTAAACAGTTATTCTTCTCTCTCTCTGTCTCTCTCTCTCTCTCTCTGAGGTGGGTGAATGATTGTGCAAAAAAAAAAAAAAAAAAACACTTTGAATCTTCTTCTAACCCCAAACCACAAGTATTTATCATGGAAAAAGTGATAATACAAATACAGGAGCAATTGAATAGATAAAAGCATAAACAAATGAATATACGATTGATCGACCAAATATATCGATAGAATATAACTCTATTTATATAAATTTGTTGATTTACAAAAATATAGAGGCGTATAAATGAAAGAGTTATGAAAAACATCTTTATCTTAAGTATTGCACCACGCAGATAGGTGTTGGTACTTACAGTGGTTGTTCTTATTTTGTGTGGTTTGCTTGTACTTGCCATTCATGCAGTCCGATTATTTGTACAGTGTCATCTCTTCTGCAGGCAGCTCAACGATACCTGCACCACAGCCTTGGGCAAGACATCATATTTAGCGTGGTGAAACTGGTAATACTGGAACAACAGCAGGTAAGTACTGAGTGAATTCATTCTCTCTCTCTCTCTCTCTCTCTCTCATACAAATATTCAACAGTAATCCGTAATTTTTTTAATTTTTTTCCACCAGAATGGCCTTGACATTACACCCGATGCTGATTTCACGCTCTCAAAATTCTGTAATTGGCAAGCTGGCATAAACCCTTACGACGACAACAACCCTCAGCATGCAGATGGTGCTATTCTTATAACCAGGTTTGCAGCTCATAATTTGTATTAATATCAAGATAACAATCACGAATTCAGTAACGAGATTGAGGAGGAGTGTGCCTAAATTTAAACTCTGTCTGGAAAATAGGCCTTACTATTTTTATAATTTACGTACTGCGAAAGCCAGCTTAACTAGAATTTCAAGCTTTAATAACGTATTATCGTATGAAGCTTAAGCCTTTTTACAAAGTACAAACAATTTTATCATTCCTTGTATACAAAATAAATAGCATTTGAGACTTCATTTTTACAGGGAGAATATTCACCAAAATGGCGAAGAAGCAACCACTGGGTTGGCGTATGTAGGCGGCATGTGTAATCAGAGGTCGAAATGCGCGTACGTGGAGGACACTGGACTGGACATGGGACTGACCATTGCCCATGAGGCTGGACACAAGTAGGTCTCCATACTATACGTATAACGGCCACATGCCCGATAAAACCCTATTCTCACTAGCAGTATAATCTTCTGTGCCGCTCCAGTTTGTGTGTGGCTATTATGTAGGATAGTCACCTGAACGGATCCCCCTGCACTGACACGGGCAGTCGACCAGATTTTTTTATTGTTCTCAAACAGAAGCGAAATTGTGAAAGACCCTCTCCCTCGTGTAGCGCTATTTCAATGTTGCCAAGCAAGAAAGCATACCGCGCGGTGGGGAAAGGGAGTTTACTTTGATAAATGAATAAACACTTTATATACATGTTTTTAATTGTTCATTTCTGTTTTCACTTCATCTTCTAATTCTTCATCATATTCAATATGCTGTTTGTTTCAGTTTGGGGATGAATCATGACGGAGATGGCAACGCATGCGCAAATAGCAATAATTTGATGTCGTCAGATGGCGGGAAAGGACCCTCATCTCTTCTATGGTCGTCCTGCAGTGCCCAGCAATTGAGATCGTTTTTGGCGTAAGCTTCAGAAAAACTAATTACTGTACCTAACTAAACCAATAAATAGATGTAAACATGAATAACTGAGTGGATTAGTAAAAAAATAACGAAGCACATATAATTTAAAGCTTTCTACATTGATATGTACGCTTTGTATAAAAACTTATCTGTGTGCTATGTTCAGGTATTTGTTTCTGTGTGCGTTTCGTTACATTCTTGCACTGTTGGGTGACCTAGCTGTAGCAATTCTACTGCAATTTACAACGGTCTCGTTGGTGAAGCGTGCGTTTGTTGTGCAAAATTCAGATATTGAATAAAAGGGTTATCTACTGCAACTTGTCACATCTGTTGGGCAAGTCTGAGGTGACGATTCCACCGACTGTGACTGATTGTGCTAACCACCTGAATCGATCCACCAACTTAGTTATTCACATGTTTATAACGGAATTAAAAGTGACCCAAAATAAATATTCAACAATACTAGACCGTCACATCACATATGCACCTCCTTCTCACGTTAGACTGTGCTGTCTACCGATGTTTAGCAACCTGGTTATCCAGAGGCTCTAATTCGCCTTAGTTATCACTGTAGTGGTCATACATGCTTGAACACAAGGTCCTAAACCACATTGTTCTTTCTTTACAGTTATATAGTGCGGTTTACTGCATCAATTTGCTGTGCTATTTCAGAACTTCCCAAGCCAACTGCCTGACGGACAGTCCTCCTAGCACTCAGCTGAAGCTGATAGAAGACAAGCCTGGACTGGTGTACGATGGGGACGCCCAGTGTAAGTTACGGCACGGGGAGGGCTCTACTTTATGCGGTCTTGCTGTCACGAAGATGCTAACGGCCAATTATGGGGTGAGTTCCCACTGCTACTACAGTATTTGCTACCAGTACTGATTTTGTTTGGATAATGTTGAAAGTGTGTGTATTTTATAACATGGTCAAATATGTTTTTCATTTTAACATTAATAAAACAAACAATACCTCGCATATTTTATTTTATTCCAAATAAAGGACGAATGTAGCCGCCTGGTTTGTACGGACCCCACGAGAGAGGGCTATTGCACAGCAGGTGGCGCTCCAAGGATGGATGGAACAGCATGTGACCAGAATCGGAAGGTACCATTTATGGCCGCATTCACAACACCGGACTTACCAGTCCGCGGATCAAATATGACCGACCCACTTGAATGCTTATTACGTAATCCCCGCGGGAAATCTATTCGGTGTCTAATACGGGATTAGACGGCATGCTTTTAATTGGGTCGACATATTTGAACCGCGGACGAGTTAGTCTGCTGTTCTGAATGCGGCACATTTTCATAATTTCTATATCGCTCACGATTCAAAAACATTTTAAAAAAGTGTGAGAGGTTTCTTGCAAAAATCCCGATGCACATGTGTCTGATAGCCAAAGCCGTCAGTGGGAATTAACGCCCCTGTGTCGCCTTAGCAACCTGTACTGCTAGCACCACAATAAGTACACTTGAACTAGCTTGGACGAGAATATATGCACGCATATTTATCTGTATTACAGTAGACTGGACCAAGACATACATGTAATTTGTAAATAGATAAAGATAGACATGGAAAGAAATTGGCTGAGTTCATGCATGTGATTTGGTCAAGTCCGGGATGCATAGTTATTGAACCACAATGCTCGGGTAGGAGGCCTAGTGTTGAAACAGCATTACCGATCCGATCATTACCGGTTCTGGAATTTACACATCTCTAATTAACTGATCAGACTGGTCTTAAGAAAAATGCTCCGGACACCTTCTGCTCACTGTGTTCGGGATTAAAATCTCTTCAGAGACCCTTAATTTATTTTGTGGCAGAGGTTGATTTAAAAGTTCCTTTTAGTTGGACAAATTATAACAGATCGAAAAAGCAGAGGCCAAACTGAACTAATAAGCGTTCATTTAGAAAACGAGTTTAGATATTACACACTGAAATTCAGTAGAGTTCATAATGCCGTTGTATTCCGTTTTAATAACGTTTTAAATATTTTAATCCCTTTTTTCTAAATAGAAAGGGGTGAGAAAACAATTGTAACCACATCAATACCTTCAAAATTTAGACTTAATAACACAATAGCTAAGACGGAATAACGCAAAAGCTTCGACGAGTGAACCCCTTGACGCCGGTATATGTGGGTCGATCGGCTGTAATTAGGTGTCATTAACAGCAGGATAACTCAACCATAAGGTCACCACTGATTGTTGCGGCGACATGATAATAGCTAATTAGCAATCATATGATAAAATGGGATGACCGTCTCCCCTGGAGGTAGCTACCAGTAGATAAACCTGAGACCGAATTAATTACCTATTAACAACAGTTTTTCATTTGGATCCCTCATCCCACAAAATTAACTAGATGCATTTTATTGAGGCAAGCTAGATGACTAAGAAGTGATATGTAACGTATCCTTCTTGTGCGTCAGGGGTGGCGTCAAGACAATTGTACTCAGGTTCCTAGTCTTGAATCTCGGAGTTTTGATGAAGTGGATTTTATAAGACTTTTTATTAATACACACTATTAGAACAATAAGTATAATGGCATTTGCTGCTGTTTAGTAGTTTTCAGTACAAATATTTACAAAGAAAATTATCCAACTTTTAGAGCACTTGTTTAAGCTGCGAGGACAAGATCCCTTTAAATGTGTCAGGTCTGGGACCGAGTCCGTTACTAACCTAGCTAATCTAGCTTTTAAAATGTAAAATAAATAACTCGAATAACAGTAATACATTATTTTAATCATCCTCTCTGCCAAGTATCAATGTTTTTCATATTGCGCTCCTTCAATCTCTCTCTCTCTCTCTGGTATTTTTACTTTCTCTCTGTAATATTTACAGTCTTTTGTGAACACAATCAGTGTTGAAAAAGGTGAACTTCCTTCTACCTCTAAAATTTGAAATTGTTGGCTGAGATCGCTTCCCATAATCATGGTTTAATAACACTCTCTGACCACAGCGTGGTCTGTT